AAGCACTTTGGCAACAGTGGGAAGGAAAAACTCCCTTTTAACAGGAAGAAACCTCCAGCAGAACCAGGCTCAGGGAGGGGCGGGGCCATCTGCTGCCACCAGTTGGAGGTGAGGGGAGGGAAACAAGATAAAAGACTTGCTGTGGAAGTGAGCCAGAGATTAATAATAACTCATAATTAAACCCGGAGTGGCCTATGAAGACAAAAGGGATGAGAGGAGAAACAGTCAGTGCATCAATGGAAGGCACCAGCAGCCTATTGCAGCATAACCAGGGTGGACTCAGGGTCACCTGATCCAGTCCTGACTATAAGTTTTAAGCCTAATCTTAAAAGTAGAGAGGGTGTCTGTAATTAAGTTAACTCAGAAAGATCAAAAATCCTAAAAATAGTGTTGTTGGGTTACCTTTGACAGTAAGACTGGCCTCAGTCTGGAAGTCTTTGGCTGCGAGTTTGATTTGTCCGGCTTCGTTTTGCGCGACATTGCGTAGAGTCAGGGTGTGGACTTTACCCTCCGCCTTCAACACCACCTGCAACAGAGTGGATAATCACAGGGTTTAATCTGTCCTGCATACTTCCTGTCAGGTTGATAGATTCATTCATATTTAGTATTTTCCTGCCCTGAATATCACAACATGTCACAGGTTTTAACTTCTCTGAAGATCTTATATCAAGTTTAGAGATTATCGCACTAATCTCACTAAACCAACTCACTAATTTCCAATCTAAGTTGGATTTTTCTGTTTTTTTCCCAGACTATGAATGAATATATGACATTAAACCTCATTGCTGCAAGGATTAGGTATTGCAGTGTCGCTGAACCCCGGTCCTCCTCCTCCTGTTAGCAAAGCAATAATTGCTAATGGTAAGACAGGTTTATATGTGTTATGAGGTTCCTTTGTTTCTCCACATCTACAGAATGTGAAGCGCAGAGATTTTCAAGGTTAAGCCTGGACGGCCAAAATGAATATAGGCACCCCTCCCCCTCCGCCCCTCCCCATTTTCCCAATTTAAACTACACGACCTATAACACCCAACAGCTGCTTTTACCACTGTGTCCTGCATGTGACAGAGCTGCCTCACAACACACTCACAAATGAAACGTGCAGCATTTCTTTATCAGACTAACAAAATAAGCACAACCGAAATTTATGTGACATCAAATGAAATTTTTCATTCCTAACAATGATATTTGTCAGAACCGTATAAGATGAAAGTAAAATGATATTTTTCTTTATAAGTGCATGAAAAGACACATCAGTACATTCATGTGTGGAGGATAAAGTGGCCTATTAGTGTTATAGTTAAAATGCTGCTTGATCAGAAAAACACTTTTGCTGATAAGCAGAAATAAAAACAAGACAAACTGATAATAAAGTTTATTTAGCTCTATAAAAAAACAACTTTATTTGTAACATCTTCAGCTGAAAACCTGCACATTTGTTCTTCAATATAAAAGATACGATTCGATTAATTGGGTTGTCATGTGAGGCCTGAAGCACTTTTCTATAAGAAGAAAGACAAACTGCTGCTTTTTTATCAATGACATTTACTTAGCCAGTGACATTTTAAACTCTTTGTGAATTTACGCTGTAACACTTGCTTTGACCAACTCTAAACCTAGATTTTTTGGGGGGTGTTTCTTCTTTTGGTTTTAATTTAAAAAAGTTACATTTCTGCCCTTCATACTGACACTTTTATGAATCTTAACTGAACTCGAGGAAGTGCAGTTCTTCATAATCTGCTATAGGTGCAACCACATGTACCAATGACACTCTTCTGTTTGTTTGCATTTAAATGCTCTGCTGAACAAATCAGCCACTTTTGGTATTACCCAAGAAAAGAGATGGAAAAGCTATTCATTGAGCCCGAGGAAGCATTCAGCTTTACATTCTTCTGTGCTTCAGCTACTTCTGTGGCAGAAACCTCCACCTATGCTAAACATGCAACATGCAGAGCAACCGAGAAGGAGGGAACGATTGACAAGGACCACGGCGTTCTCGGGTTACTTCAAACTTCACACTTGGATCTGGATATGACTCGATTTCCTTCCAGGGCCTGGACTATTCACTGTTCAACTTTGAATTACAATGTGAAAACAGCCAGTGCATCAGCTCAAGCAAAACACTTATAGCAGTCCATGTGTTTTGTCGCTGTAGCTGTCATAGCTCTGCTGCCACTTGCCCTGCACTTCAGCCTCCTTCAGCTGTTAAAAATAACCCTGCAGAAACGCTTGTGGGACAGAAAAAGCCTTCCTGCCTATGTTATCTCAAAACCAGGAATCCCAAACCCACACCAGCAGAGCCTTATATGAACATTGTGTACAAGTGGAAAGGGAAATTCTGGCTGTGGGACACAATCATGAGGCCTGGACTTTTGTAGTGGTTTGTAACTGAATGTTAATGGGTCTTGTGTTTCAGGAAGTGAATCTCCTAGTTATCCTGTCCGCAGTAAAGAAACATTGCATGGGCTCAGTCAGATGTGTTGAGACTTACTCTATCGCTTGGCTCCAGCTTTGTATCCCCCAGGAACCACTCGACAGCGATGCCTTCGTATGACAGCTCGCACTCAAAGGTGGCAGTCTCCCCAGCAGTCACGGTGACATCCTTCAGAGGCCTCTGGAGGCCAATCACTCGGGCTTTAGATTGGGAAGAAAACATGGTTAGCGCCCCTGACCGAAAAACAGGTCAATGAAAACCAAAAAAAGCCCAGGGAGACATGGCGAATCCTCAGTGGCTATTCCTCATGGTGTTTTGAGCTGAAGGCGGGCTGGTGCAAGACCTTGGACAACTGAAACAAGCTGCCCTGAGACTTGGCATTAGGCGTCCAAGCTCATTAGCATGAATCCTACTGTCAGATGTAAACGGCAGGCAGAGCCAGTGAGAGTTGGGGTTCTACCCTTCCCCCCTGCCAATCACTGCAACCCTTCTCTAGATAAGGAATGTGGCTTCAAAAATAACTAAGGAGCCTGATAGGCTGAGAGCCCACATCTGCCAAATCCATTGAGGGAAGCCGGTCTGCTCCTGTCAATCACAAGATTGCAGTTTCCCAGGAAAAGGAGAATGTGAATGTCCTCACAGGAGTTACCCAACGTCACACTACTGGGGAGTTTGGTAACACGGGACATGCAGAGCTCTAGGAAGTCAGTGTGGATTAACAAGCCGCATCAATTATTTATAACAGGCTTCTTCACATGCCTGAATTAAGACCCCTTTACAGCCTGTTGAAATGGACTCTGACAGCATGACAGCTCATGCAATCAGAAAGCTGTCAGTCTGTTTGCAGTCTCACCATAAAAATGACTCATCTATTAAAGTTAATTCACATTGATCGTGTAGTTGGACTGCTGAACTTTCTTTTATTTCTGAACATTTACTGATTTGATAAATCTTGTATTTAAAAAGCGATCATTAAAGAGAAGCAACATATGAAATCGTTTTTAATTCTAGAAACTTGTAAGCCTGCGCCATTATAGGAGCTTTTAATCAGTTATTTAAATATTGTACTGAATTAAATCCTAGTTCAGAGACAAGTTGGAAGAAGATCAATCGAAATGAATCATGTGAAGGGAAATATTATTAAAACATCACTAACTTTTAATTATTTATTGAATTATTAAAAACAACAAATTTTTATCTGATCAAATAGTGCTCCTTGTGTTAATTCTATTACTGAAGCTCAGAGGATCACGGGATGGGTCGATAACTCAAATCAAGAGGAGGAATTTCAGAAATTTTAGGCTACGTTCACACTGCAGGCGAAAGCGCATCAAATCCGACTTTTCTGACCCTATGCGACCCATATCGATCATGGTGTGACAGTGTGGACGGCACAAATCCGATATTTTCAAATCCGATCTGGGTCACTTT